AGAAGTATAATTATCTTTGTCTTTTTTTTTTATACTGAGAGTCTTCTATTGTAAATAATTATTGGTGCTTTATTATTTTTGTTTTGTTTTTCCGATTCAATTATTTTATATTCTGAATTTTTAGATTTGTATTGTTTTTTATGTTTGTTATGCATCAGGTGGTGTGTAACGTTCGAGAATAACCCACCGATTAGTTTTATGCTCCACCCAAATTTACAATGTGTTGGAATGCGGCTCTCTATCGTTCCTAGATGCCTTGTATAAACGCTGCAGGAAAGATGTTACTTTAGGATTATTTTTACTTCACTATTCTTTTTTATATGGTTGTCATTTAGGATTATTTGTATGTTTTTAATTGTATGTTTTTTATCGTTTTTAGTAATTTGTGTTAKTAAGTTGATTTTGGATATTTCTGGTATATGCATTATATTGGATTTTTTTTTTGTCAATGTGCCTGGGACACAGTGTTCTTATTAACGTTAAATGGCACTACTGATGATTTACTACCATTCCTATATGTTATACCGGTATTATTGTTGTCATTATAATAAATAAACCATATACATATCATTTAATTTTGTTTCGTTCTTATTATTACTACTGTCGAAAAAATTACGAATAATACTTATTATGTCATAGTGTTCCGTTGATTTCCAGTTTTGTGTTATGTTTTCGTCATTTTTATGGTATATATGTATTACAATGTTAGTGTTTTGAAATTCTGAGTATAATAATTGTTTAACTATAGACCAGTTGAATTTATTTGGTTCAGAATCAAGAGTGGGTATTGCAATTTTTAAAATATTTAATCTTATAGCTTGAAGTTTAAGGTTGTGGATTGAAGCTTTTAAATCTTGGTATATAGTTTTATGATAATGAAATTCTTTTGTCATTAGATGAAATATAGTTTTATTATTAATGATTATCGRTTTAATGTTTCCTACATTTATTTTTTGTAATGAAAGTTGTGGTCCAGTATCACCATATACTTTGCATATTAAATTTGTTATCCCCTTATTCATTTTAAGATCTGCAGAAATGCAGTGAGCTATAGCAAAGTTATCTGGGCAATCAAATATGCTACCTTTTACTTCTATAATATTGTTGGTATTATTTATACAATTTAATATATTTGTATTATTAATTTTTAACCGTATATTTATATTGTTATTTAAAGTAGGTAATGTTATTGTCTTTGAAATTAATTTAGGCATTGTTTTTTATCAAAAAGTTATTCCCAAGTATTATGGTGCAGGATAAATTTTTTACGACATGGGTTTCTAAATTAAATTTGTGATTATTAATTTTTATTTCTATATTGGTTACACCTAACATGCATAATGGTTTATTATCTGGTCCTGATAGCTGTATTATGCTGGGCGTTATTTTATAGACGCTAGGTAGTAATTCATGTCTTATACAACATATGTTTGCTCCCATGTCAACTGTTATTGGTAGCTTAATATTATTAAATTCAGCTTCAATGTAAAGTGTATCGGATGTGTAGTTAATTTTATCTATAATTGTCTCGAGGTTGCTGTAATTAAAGGTGAGTAATTATCAGTCGTGTTTAAACTAACATTTTGGTTTTTTGATTTATTAATATATAAATTNTAACATTTTGGTTTTTTGATTTATTAATATATAAATTCTAATAAACCTATAAATGTGACTGAAAATGAACTAAAAAGATATATTGGTATATGTATTTATGCTTCAGTTTTACATGTCCCTAAAGTTAGAGACTATTGGAGTATTGAGTTAGGGTTCTCTCAAATATACAAATGTATGAGTCGTACAAGATTTGAGGCAATTCGTTCCTGTTTACACTTCAATGATAACTCTAAATTATTACCTGTTACTGATATTAATCATGACCGCCTTCACAAATTAAGACCATTAGTTGATTATTTGAATAATAAATTTAAAAGTGTACCATATCGCCAAGATCTTTCCCTTGATGAACAGCTTTGTGCCACAAAAGCCCATTCATATTTAAAACAATATTTACCTGCTAAGCCCCACAAATGGGGATTCAAGCTTTATGTTTTATGTGATTACAAAGGCTATGCATATAATTGTGAGATATACACTGGTCAAGAAAATCAACCCAGGTTTCGTTTACCATCAGAACCAGATTTGGGATCAAGCTCCAATATAGTAGTTCGTCTATCAAGAGATGTGCCTCAATATAATAATTACAAAATTTATTTTGATAATTTTTATACAAGTGTCCCAGTTATGGATTACTTATACAGCAGAGGTATATTGAGCTTAGGCACAGTACGCACTAACCGATTACCTAATTGTAAATTAAATGATTCAAAAATGCAAAAAAAATTGTTAAGAGGAAAATCTATTGAATATATTTCTTCTTACAAAAATACACCTATATCAGCATTAACATGGAAAGATAACAAGCCTGTAACATTATTGTCAACTTATGCTGGAAAATTACCTGAAACTAAAGTAAAAAGATTCAATCGCTCTACAAAAAGTAAAATTGAAGTATCTTGTCCATTTGTTATAACTGAATACAATCGCCATATGGGGGGGTGTAGATTTATTAGATTCACTCATAGGGAGGTACAAAATAAAAATGCGCTCCAGAAAGTGGTATATTCGTTTGTTCTACCATTTCATTGATTTGACAGTTGTAAATTCATGGTTATTATATAAGAGGGTCAGAGAAGAACAGAATTTGCCTGTACAGTTTGAGCTAGCTGACTGGAGAAAGAAAATAGCATACTCATTGACAAAATCAGGAGATTTCAAGAATCAAAGAGGACGTCGTTCTATATCTATAGAAACTAAAAGGGCTTCGACAAGGGCTTTAGCAATGCACCCAACTCGTGCAGTTAGAACTGATGGTGTTGGGCATTCTCAAATAAGGGCAAATAAACGAGGAAGATGTAAATTCCCAAAATGCAATGGATACACCTGGATACAATGTAATAAATGTGATATTCTTTTATGCAACTCAAAGACTAAAACATGTTTTAATAGATATCATGATGAATAATCTGTGATTTTATTTCATTATTATTATTTTAAAAACTCTGTTAATNCTATTCTCTATAGGCTATAGCTACTTGAAGGAAAACTTATGGAAAACATAGTGTTGTATTTTTAATCCTTAGTTATGAACACAAAAAATTTTATGATTTTTCAACTTCAAAAAAAAATCTCATAAACATCGAAAATTTCAGTGGTCTACAAATAACTCAAAAAAAGTCATTAGAAGCATTATTTCGACTAGTTATGCTGTACACAGACACAAAAACAAAAAAAAACAGACATCATTGTAAAATCAATACATTCATCACTTCGTTTAAATATTCGAAAATGTAATACAAGGTTTTACATTAYTATTAATTTCTCTATCTAAAAAAATCGTTGCTTTTTTTACTAGTGTTTAAAATTAAGAATTATGATAGCAATTGTTAAAATCCCAAAAATTGACTAATTATTTTGTAGTTAAAAATCCATAAGGTTTTTAAAWTGTATTCCTATGGTTTAAAAAAGTAACGGGAGGTTTTTCATAAGTTATTGTTTTGAGTGTAATCCACAAATATTTTTGATGATGAATAAAAATTGTATTCATATAACAATTTTTAGTCATCAAAGTACTGTAGGTATTCGAACCTACTTAGACAATTTTATTTAAATAATTACTATATAGATATTATTCAACAAAATTAAATAGATACTTCCAATATAATATATCAATTTCACTTCCTATTATCAAAGTCAAMTTAATTTACGTTAGTATATTGTTACAATGGCAGCAAAGGTATTGAATAATATAATACTATAATTATTTAATAATAACATCACTACTTACATAAAGAATATGTAATAACTAATAGGTACATACACTTCTTAGAAAATTGTAAAAAGTAGATATCTAATAAGCACTTTTGAATTATGAGCAAGTTGCGAAGAATTCACGAGTTTTTATACACTAATAATGTTCGGTGGCAATTCTAATGATGCTAATTTTAATACATCATAGAAAAAACTTTTTTTTGTTGATTATTTATGTTTTGCGTGCAAATAAAGATTATTTCAATTTACGACATATTGATTTTTAATAATTTTCTTTTTTGTTAATACCTACTAATTTAAAGAAGTATCAATTAAAAGTCTCGCCAATTATTTCATGTATTAAAGCAATATTATACCTAATACTGATCAATGCCATTCAATGGTACGGCGCCGTATTTTATAGCGACGACTACTATCATTGCTGACTTACGATCAAATGTATATTTTGTTGCCGAACTAAACGACAAACTATTGTTATATAAAGTATTACACTCAGTATTTAACCTAAGAAATATTATCATAAATAAATCTTTTTTAAATCGGTGTCATTTATAAAGATATAAATTKCATTACTTGCAAACGGTGACAGCTAACTTATTATAAACAGCTAAATTAAACAAGTAATCAAGTAATTGACAATGAAAGACCAACATTTAAAATTTTAAAAACCGTACAGACGTGAAACAATGTACTAAAGCAGTAATTTGCATGAATACATCTTTATAATTTTTTGCCCCAATATTAGCAAGCGTCTATAGCGTGTATATTTTAAACATATTTATTCTTCGTGATAATGTTTGACTGTAAAGATGAATAATAATATATTATTAGACATTAGTAATTGATTGTTAGGTACAAATGGTACCATTACAATATTATATTGTGTACTTACCTAATTAGGTATGTTTCATGTACATTTCAAGAAAGATAACTCACAAAGTCACAATATGTACATACTAGGAGAAATATTATTATAAAATTGGTTAAAAACCAGTAAGTATTAGTACAT